TTTTTTATTTTGTTTTCAAAAAATGATGTTCAAATCAGAGAAATTTTTTCTTCGTACAGCAAAGAAACATTTCTTTGAATTAAAAAAATTTTTTTCTAGGTGTATTGTACATTATTTACATTGTGTTACATTTGAAGATTTCTTCTAATAGTAAGTAGATGTACAGTAACAACGCCGATAGCCTGATTAATACATTATTTAATATTAGAATATCTTGTTTCAACGCTTACAATTAAAAAATTGATGAAAATGACTAATATAAAATTATACAAAATTTATTTACAGAATATTCCATGGAACTTTGACAGATTATATCATTAAAACAAATTGAGATATGAAAGAAAGATGTAAAGTAAAATCGAATGGTTTTAGTTACTCTAATTTAGAGTTCTACATAGATTTAAAAAACAGGAAAGCATCATTGAATCGGTTAAGTTAATCCGCCGCTATTGTTTTAATTCCAATATGAATACTGATTGGCTGTTCAATCATAGTATGATTTTAATTCCTTAATATGTCAATCAGAGACCTCTTTAGACAGTCAACGAGACCGTATCTTTAGAAGACGCCCTCCTTCGACTAGAACTCTATACACTAATTTTATGCCTTTGGAGTTTGCCTTTAGAAATCCATATTTTTTAAAACATTATTTGAAACAACTTTTTATTCTTTATTAAAAAAAAGTATCACAATATGAAAAAAAAGTTGGTTTAAGAGCTTAAAATGAAAAATATTTGTGTTTAAGAAAAAGGTAACATTTTTTGTAGCTGCATACATGCGCATATAAACGTAACAGTGACTAAAATTAAAACAACTATAATTACATTTGATTTTGCTATATATTTTTTTCCATCTGTCATCAAATTGTTTTAATAACGTAATCTATCAGAGTTCCGGAACAAAAAATTAGTATATTATTTAAGGGAATCCTAAAGCCCCTCTTATTTTACCGATTAAGAGCCGGTTGTTCCACCTTTTGGTCAATTTTACTTGTTGGGTAGCAAGATTACCCAATCACATGCGTGGATTGCCAGATTTACTAACAGATAAAATTTACCAAAAGGTAGAATAACCGGGCCTAAATCATATAATTTTTGTATAACAAACTTTTTTCCTCTTTCATCGATTCGAAAATCCTTTTCCAGAGGTAAAATATATGCATTAATACGTGTTTGGGAAGTGGAGTTTATGCCGAGAATGATCAAAAATTTCAATTGATATATTTTTTACCATTTCTTAGTGTAACATGACCTCTCAAGTCGTGACAACTGATTTGCTTGATATAAAAGCTTTGCATATGAAATAGTGGTTCCCAGACACATAATTTACACGAACAAACGTCGAGTTCTTAGAATTAGACTTAGACGTTTTATCGCGATGAATTTGTTCTACGAAAATTGACACGAATGTGAGATTTCGTGAGATATTAATGTGGTAGTATATAAAAGC